AGCAGATGGCAGAAACTATTTAGAGCATGCAGATTTGGGAGTGGTGGAATGCTCCTCCCCTTGCCCTGTGATAATTACATTAAACTAAAAGGTTTCTGCACAGTGAAAGAAACTCTCAGTAAAACAAAAAGACACACCATACTTGGTGGGAGAAAATATTTGTACATAATACACCTAACAATGGGCTTAAGGGAGGCTATGAGTACAAAATTTAGGATGGAGGTATCCCAAGACCAAAACCTGGACTCAGGGGTAGAGATGATTAACAGAGTGATTAAAACATCCATAGAGATGAAAAATCCTTAGACACAGGATCTCTGTAGGCACAGGCTGCTATAGAAAGTATCTGCAGACCAGAGATGTGGATATGGAGGTTGAGGGCCACTGGGACCATTAGAAAACCACCTGTCCTGACAAATCAACCAAGGCACACCCTAAAAGTGATCAATATTACAATAGATAACAATTCTGCAGAGGAATGAACCCTCCCCCAAAGCACACTATGCCAGTATAATTCTGGCACTGGCAGGACGCAACTCTCCTGCCTGTCTGTGGCAAAGCAGCAACTCTTTCACAACCTTTTTATTTTGCAAAACAGCAGCAGCAGCAGCAGCAGCAGCACCAGCACCATCATCAGCAGCAGCTCTTTCTGCCTGCTTGTGTCTGTGGCAACAGTTTTCTTCTCCCTTCTTTTCTTCTAGTTAAACTAATCTTTTTGGATATAATCAAATGTCTTCCTTTCCTGGGTAACTTCACTATATGCTACTGAAATGGAAACTGCCAAACTTGATTCAGAGGTAACCAAAGGATCTGGATCACTGAACCTAACATCTCATCAAAATGACAACAGGCTGATTGCCAAAACAAATGAAGAACTCATGTAACTCCACAAAAAGAAAACAATGAACCCAATCATAAATCGGGTAGAAGAGTTCAACAAACACTTCTCCAATGATGATGACATATAGATGGAAAAAAATGCTCATCATCACTTACACCAGGGAAATGAAAATCAAAACCACAATGAGGTATCATCTCAAACTCAGCACTCAAACTCAAACTCATAGAATGAGCCATATCAAAAAGACCAGAAACAGTTGCAGGTGAGGATGCGGATGTAAAGGAACCCTTGTACACTGCTCATGGGAATGCAGACAGGGTCAGCCCCTATTGTAAACAGCATGGAAAGCCCTTTAAATGAAGACAGGTCTGGCCCTCCCTGGTGGCACAGTGGGTTAAAGCACAGCACTGAGAGGCTAAAGTCACTTCAGCATGAGTTCGATCCCCGCCTGCCCCAGAGGTGATCCACATCAAGAGGCAGACCTCTCCTGACCCACCCGCTGCTCCCCTCAGCAGTGTACTCATCAGTTGGCCTGTTCTGCTCCCCACTCTGTCTCTGGTGAAGCCTCTCATCGCTCCTGCACCTTTGGCCTGTACCCCAGTTTTGTATGCACAAATAAATAAATGTTTAAAAAAAAAAAAAAGACAGGTCAACCATGTGACCCAGCAATCTCTCTCTTGGTTACTACTCACAGAATACAAACATGCTTTTTAAACACAGACCTAGGAATCTACACAAAGAATGCAAAAACACTAATATAAAGAAACATGCAATCCTATGTTCACTGACCCTTAGTTGCAGTAGTAAGCTATAGAAACAAACTAAGTACTCAAGGACAGAGGAATGGATAAGGAAAATGGGGTCTGTGTATATACACACACACACAGTTCACTGGAATACCATTTAGCTATGAAACAGGGTGAATTCTTGCCCTTTGTGACAACATGCATGGAACTGGATAAGATAAAGCTAAGCAAAATGAGTCAGAAGAAGAAAGACAAATACCAGAATGTGACACTTACATGTGGAGTATAGAAATACATATAACTAAGTATCAGTCAAAACCAGACCAATAATTAACTCAATATCTCACTGCAAAACTGAGGCAACCAAAGGGTTTGGGAGTGGGGATAAGTGGGGCTCAATAGAACATAGTACAGATTACTGGGTGTGAAAACATACATTTGTAGAGCTTTATACCTATAACCCTCAAAAGATACAATGATGTAAAACCAATTTAGGACCTCCCTAGTGGTGCAAGTGGTTACAGCGTAACACTATGAAGCTGTCAGCAGCCACTGAGGCATGAGTTGAATGCCCAGCCAGGGAGGTGGCCCAGATGGCACAGCAGACCTCTCCTGACCTGCCGCTGCTCCCCTCAGAAGTGTGATTCATCCGTCTGCCTGTTCTGTATCTCGTTCTGTCTCTGGTAAATCCTCTCACACTTCTGGCCTGTACCACAGTTCTTGTATGGATAAGTAAATACATCTTTAAAAAATAAATAAAACCAACTTTACTTCAATAAAAGGGAATTCCTTTTACCTTTGTTTTTGGTATGATTTTCCCTAATGTTGTACCCATAGTGGTTCTCCCTATATATTCCCTACATTTTTTTTACATTTTTTTGTTTTACATTTTTTTTACATTTTTTTGTTTTACCACTAAAACCTTTTATTAAAATTTTATATTATCTTTTCTATATAAAACAGTTTTATATTTTACATGAAATCAGAAATTTCCTTGAAGTCAGGAACTCTGTCTTCCCTACAGGGCCATCAATATGTTACTTATCTGTAGGACTTATACATGTTGGGGTATAATTTAATAGAATTAAAGCTTAGTCCCTGCACTTTGTTCAGTTGAACAATGCTGGGAAACACCAAATAGATAAGAAAGGGAAGCTGATAGAGTTGCCATGGGAACCCAGCCACAGGTCCACATGATCAGTATGGGGCTATTGAGAATTCCCAGACATGAGTAAATAGGGCAAATAGAACCAGAAAGGATACCTCCTGTTTGGAAGGCCCACAGAACACTTGATGCCCTAGCAGATAACAACCTCACTCCTAAAATCAAGAGAACAGGGTATAAAAGTGAGCCCCAAATCTTTCTTCCTGTGAAGATCTCTCCTACCTTGCCCCTGCTTCCTTGCAGGGTATCTCAAATAATCTGCTTTTTCTGTTCTCTACTCTGTCTCTGGTGAATTCTTTCAAATCCTTGTGTCTTGACCTCACTCCAGTAATACACCACCACAATAAACTGGTTCCTAATTTCTATATACATCCCAGTATCCTAATTTCTATACACATCCCAGTATCCCAAAGTATTTTTAAATGAAGTTCTAAAGAATTGACAAAAATTTACTTCAGCTCTCATTTCTATGAACGACTATACTAGAATCAATCTAATGGAAACTTTTCTGTTATTTTCAATTTATTTTAGTGCCTCAAAATAAAAAGAAAAGGCAGTTTTTTTCTCTACATTCAAAAGTTTCTTTTAAAATATTTGTGTTAGCTTATTATTCACATGGTTATAAATGTAACTGCATATGTCTTTGAATTCTTGGCTCATACAAACACAAACATAAGCAAGTATAAAAATACCAAGTAAAATTTGCAATACTACAAATTCCATGTAATGGATAACTTCTATCATTATACTGATGAATTATCAACAATTATCACAGAAATTAATTATAAGACACCATAATTCTTTTATTTATTATAATAAAAACAAAGGGTATTATATGCTATTTAGTCTTTAATAAAACAAAGGGTGAAGCAATGATATGTGAGAAACTGTATAATAACTTTATTATTAAGCCCAGTGCCACTAATATCTTTAAAAATTTAATCTCCCAAATTTCTTTTGTAACAAAGATGTTTGCATACCTTAAAAGACTTAACATCAACATTTCAACTAATATTCATTTTGTGGCTTAATTTTGATATTCAAGGGTAGTTAAGACATAAAAAGCATAAAGGGTAACTCATGTTTCAATTATATGAAATGACAATAATACTAGACATGGCCCAATTATTCAATTTATAATCTCATAATAATATAAGGATTTAAATAATCTTTGGCCATTTAAGATAGTTATTAAAGTTGAATCTTAACTGAATCACTAATGAGTGTGGTGTATAAGTAAAAGCATAAAATGAATTTTATTTTTTTAAAAAAAGATTTATTTATGCATACAAAACTGGGGTACAAGCCAGAGGCACAGGGACAGTGAGAGGCTTCACCAGAGTCAGAGTGGGGAGCAGAACAGGCAGATGATGAAATATACTGCTGAGAGGAGCAGTGGGCGAGACAGGAGAGGTCAGCTGTGCCATGTGGGTCAGCTCCATGGCTGGAGATTAAACTTGTGCTACAGTGGCTCATGATAATTTCCTAGTACTGAGGCTAACCTTTTGAGCCACTAGGGATTCCCATATAGTCCCTCTATTTCTTGGAAGATCAAGTTAAAAAGTAGATGACAGTATCATTTGTGACACTGTCATTAATTACATTCATTCCCTGAAGGATGTTGATGACTTTCTCAGTAGCAAAGAGAAAGAACCCTATCCTGAAGAAAAGGAAAAGACATCAACGTATTGTTCATGATATCAAAGGGTTTTATAAATAATAAAAACAAAATCAAACCAAACTGGGAGTCAGTTTTCATGTTGGAAATGCCTGATGGACTGTCAGGTGCTGGGAGAAGTACAAAATTCAGCCATTTCTTCCCTTTCATTACTATCCTTAGAGTTGCATCCTTGAATCTGCAGTAAATCTCTGATCCCATAGCTATTTCTTGCTCAAGTAGGCATTAGCAGTGAGTACTGATAAAACTACGGAATGTTCTTTTTGTGATACAAAGACTACTATGTATTTTTAGAATTAACATCAAAGAAGACATTATTAGCAAAGTTCTGAATCTTTTACCTTGATCTATAGCCTAAAGTTTGAAGTTAATATTGGCATAAAAGTCATTCATTTGGTACTATATAACTGCACTGTTGTTTAGAAGGAAACCAAAATTTTATGTCACTCATGCCAAACCAGAATTACTCAGTCCCATGTAAGAATCACATATATACAATGTTCAGTCAAAAGAATGTGGGAGTCTTAGTATTTTCTAGGTGAATAGATTTTAGAACTCCACAGTACATACCTTCTTTACATGAGGAGGGACATGGTGTCCAGTCACTGTACGGGGTCACAATACAGTCCTTCCTACAAGGAAGCAAACAGGGCCTCACAGTTTCTGGCCGAAGGCTCTCAGGACACCTAGAAAAAGCAAAGGAACATTACCTAGCTTCCCTAATAATCCAGAATTATCCAATTATTCTATCTGCAGGGTTTTCATTGCTAAAATTGCTAAATAGCCATCAATCTACATCATTTAACTTTTAGGGCCGTTCTACTTTTGATAAGAGTTATAGAACTAAATTAATTTTTTCTAAACTGAACTTCAATAAAAGGTATGTAAAAAATTAATAACAATTATCCTATCTGATACAAATATAAAATGCAGTAATAATTCCTCTTCCCCTTATAACACTCTTTCCTGTTATAGGTTACGTATTTGCTAACATTTTTTATAAGAAATTTGTGGAAATCCAACAACCAATTTAAGGTCCCAATAATACATGTTTGATAACAACATAGGCATATTGACAATTATATGTTTTTGATTCTTTACAACTATTAAAAAGAATATATGTAGGGCATAAAGTAAACTTATAATGGAATATATTCTCTATATAATACATGCTCAAAGAACAGTATTGTATTATTAGCTCTATATTTTATAATAAATAACAAAATATAAATAAGCACTTTTGTTTTACTACAAACGTTTTTAAGCATCTTTTTTTTTCTTCTATTTTTACCTTAAAGGAGATTATGTGATTTTAAAATTTTTAATAGGTTTATAAATTACAAAGCCATATTTGAAATAGAAATAGTAACTATAAATATGAAGCAATCAACTTAAAGAAAAATAAAACTTTTTTGACAAAAGATTACAGCAAATTAAGTAAATAATTATTCTTAAAAACTACAGCAAAAAAATATTACTACTGGGAAGAATAAAGAAAGATAAAGGCAAAGCACTAAAATATCTTCTTTTCTAACTTTCTGTCATTTTTTTTTCTTCCTAAGACATAATGATAGAAAGTTCATATATGGGTTTTCATACTGTCTTGTTTATTGTATACTTACCACTTGTTTTCAATTTTCCTAATTTTCTGATTCTACTATTGCTACTGGTCAAATGTTGACCATTAGCATGAATATATGAAGAAGATGCATTTAAAAGAAATAAATAGAGCAACTTAATTGATGTAACTAAAGTTAGCAGTGTTTTGATTACTACGAAATTCTCTTTTGAAGTCATACAAATCCAACAAGTAAGCTAGGAGGAATGAAGAGAAAAACAAACAGCCATTATAACTTTATAACTGTTGCAAACATAGCTTGGCAAATTCATGAAAAAAGACATTTAAGAATAATCTTCATGGGAAAAGCCAATTTTTTTGTAGGTCAAAATAAATTGTATTTTAATAAGCTAATCATGTTTTCAGAACTGAACTATAAGTGGAAAAAATCCACACTATTAATTTCCTTCCCATAATTTCTTTGCTGACAGTTCATTTTTGATATATCTTGTATTACAATTATCTATGTACAAGTCCACCTCATACATAAATATTCTATTCTAATCAATTTTATAGATATATGCTTTCTTAGTTTACTCTGTAACACTAGGGTTTAAGTGAAAGTGGATTTAAAAATACTGGAATCAACATTTCAAAAGAAATAATCTCTTTGGGTAATGTTAAGGACAAACTTGAATTTCTTTATTGCAATTGCAAAGTAATTGGCAACAAAGAAATGTAGATGTGATCATAGAAGTTAATGTATTATTACAGTGAGACACTTAGTGTTTATTTAATGTTAAAATTTAACTTGCACTCTTAGGCAAAACTCTACATAAAATACTGTTCTTTTGGAATTACAGAATTTTGGTTAGCAATTATTATTTAAAAAATTCCTTTTCAATGAGGCAATTTTATAATTCTGATTAGTGAGAAAAGCATTACATAAATTCATGTTCTTCAAACTTTAGTTCTATATAAATCAATAGAATTCCCAATGCTATCATTGACAACTTCCCAAATTCCCTTTTAGTTTAGAAATCACCACAGCAAGATACTTGGCTAACTGTGGAGAACAAAATTACTAACAACAAAGCCGTTAAATGAACACACAAAGATAAATTACACAGCTTAGATTGCATCTAATAAAATGAATTCAGACTTCCTTTGGCGAGGCAATTGGTTCAGTCAACATGCTTCTTTTCTCCTTTGTACTGTTTGTATTTAGTGTTTGTGGTTTAAATCAAGGAATTGATTTTCTCCCAAATCTTATTCAAGGTCAAATTAAACAGATGTGATAGGAGTTGAAGTTTGTTACTCAGAGGATAGATAAGATCAATAATATTGATTTTACCATTGCACAGTAATCTGTTTTATTAAGAGGAGTTTAAAACAAGGTTTCTATTTGCATTTTTGTTTCAAATGCCTCGTACTGAAAAGTGATTGAGGAATTTAGCCACTGAAATCAGGCATAAGGGCAATAACAAATCCTTTTGAATTCACAGTAATTATTTAACTTTTCAGAACTCTAAGAGAAAAGTAAATCCATTTGCTTTAATAAATCCATACATGTATCCAGGTCATTGAATAAAGACTGCAAGGGCAAAGTGAATTTTTAATGGACATGTGCTTCAGGATATCCTTCCTGTTGAGTGATTTAATGATGTGAATCCAGCAGGATCTTTCACATAAGCTTGTATACATGCACATCCATTACTCAGCACAATATTTTGAAGTTTGAATGAGAGAGAAAAATTTCAGTTGCAGCATCTGAAATGTGATTAATCGCCAACTGAGAAAGAGTGAACTGACTCACAGTATAATAATCTTCCACCCTGGGCCACTAAGGGTGGTTAAGTTATAAACCTTTGTTAAGACATTATTTCTCTCTGTGCTTGTCTCAGAAAGACCCAGAATCCTCTAGAACTTGGAACTCCTGTTGTAGTGTTTCTGAAATTTAATACACCGCACATTTATTTCCTTAGCTTCATCACAACTACAGCATCACTTTTATTACAAAGTTGGTTTGGGACTATCTATTAAATATATGGATAGTTAACCAATTTATTCAAATCATTTGGCACATATTTTCTAATATATTTCCTAATTTCAAATTATATCAACAAAGTATGGGAGTCTTGGCCAGATAAAAAGTCTCATAATGGGATTCTTATCCATCCCCTAGAGTTTTCTATATGACAGATACATTATCATTATTTTTCTGAAACACTAAGAAGTATCTCAAATTTTAAGGTGAAAATTGCAATTTTAAGACTGTGTTTATATCACTGTTTCTCCATTAAATTCTTTCAATAAACTTTGAGAACAGAGGCCAGAATTAGTTATGTAGCATGTTTAAGACCAGAAACACTATTTAAGCACTTGAACATTTATTTTAGCTATTTTTATACCAGTGCAAGACTGACTGTACTTTTCATGTTTCACAGAGCTAAGATGACTTAACTTTAAAAGGTATATGCAGTCTAAAGCTCTAAAGATAAAGTTTTAATTTTTTTTTCCTGTTAAAGGAATATACTGTTAAAGAAAATGTATTCATTTTCTCTGAGGATTGTCTAGCTCAGTTATGGATGACTTGCTAATGTTTATATTTCTTATAGGGCACATCTACACACCCTCCTCTAGTTTTGTCTTCTTTTCTCAAATCCTTTGCTTTGTTGTTAAACTATTTGTAGTCACAGTGAGAAGCTGATGGTTTTTCTACTTATCAGAACACTCATCCTAGTCCTATCCCAAGGCTCCTCTTGCAAGTAAATGGCTTGGTCTTTTAGCCACGGAAAGATGTAACAACTTTGGCTACAATATTTTTGATCTAGTATTTTCTCCGGGAAATGAAAGGCTACTACCCAATTAAACTAGACAGGCCACTACCATTGCCTAAAGGCACGTAGGAGGTCATGGATGACGTGCCCTTCTAGGGCTTCCTATGCTGTCATTATTGATCAGCCAGGCCCAGAGCAAGACTTCTCTCACTGCCTCACTAGGTTAATAAAAGCTGGAAGTGCTGTATAAAAGTGAAAGTGGATAATAGATACAAAGATTTTGACAGGATTTATGGATTCCAGGTATAAGACTGAAGCTGTTATTACTTTGTCAGTGGTTTATGTAGACAAATCTTTCTTGAGGGTAGTATGCTGAGCATCACAATGCCCCATTACATGAAACAAGTGAGGGGAAATGATCACCCCCGCACAAGTGATCACAAAATTTACTTTCATCAATTTGAAGCCCTTACTTTTTGGGTCCTACTTGGCCCACATTGACCCGCACACAGATGACTTTTCTTGTCTGCATGCCGACTGAGCACGAGGAACCCCCATTCCAAGTTGTAGTTGTGTTGAAGGCTGACACTGAGGTGTCCTCGATGCACTGGCCCCAGGGGCCAGTCTGCCAGTGGTACACAGTACAGGGATGATCATTACAGCTGCGTGCCTCTTGCAAAGCGCTGCCATTTGGACAGTGAACTCCACCTATAAGGATGGACAAGGTAAGAAATTAGAAACAGTGCCTCCAGGAAAGTTTGTCTCTGTTCCTTAGAATTAAGCAGGTTAACAATTATACCTGTCACTTGTTTAGTTTATAGTATGTATCAGCACACTGGCAGGAAGTCAAGTTGCAAATTAATCTTACTTAATTTGGCAGGGTGTGGGGTCCCAGGTTAGGCTACCCCAAGATAAGCCAAAGTAGCATATTGATTATTTGAATTAAAGAAAGGGTAGGTAAATGAATCACTCCCTAAACCTCTCTTAATCCTTCAGAAATAAAAGCAGGAATTCTCTATGACCCTCCTTTTCTTTGTTTTCCTTGAAAGCAGTAAATAAACCTTTATGGAAGGCACTCTTCCCAGCTCATAGTTGGAGAAACACACTTATCAGAAACAGGTAAATAAAGTTGTACAAATAAGCTCTTTACAGAATTTTGTCTACTTTTCTTTGTCTAAAAGCCGTATCAACAGGCTATTTTGGTCATTCATAGCTTCCCTATCTTATGGAACCCTGTGGGCACAAAACCAAATTTGTCTTTATAGTTTTTTCCTATCAATTGGTTGCTAGGCCAACCAATGGAAACAAAGGAGATCAATAGAGATAATTTGGAATTTTTCCCTGGGTAAAATTTAATCCATGTGGTGTATTTTGCATTTGTTTTAGGGGACTATAGCGAACCACAAAGAGATATACCATTGTCTTCTAGAGAAGCTAAAATACACAAATGAAGCCTATGTGATTGCTGGGAGAGTGGCTCTTGTATGTTATCCCCCAGATTGAAAGTTTTATTTGTAAGTTTCAAAGTTATGCTTGTTTTTATAGCTTAAGGATGGTAAGAAACAAAAGTTTAAAACAGAATGATGCTTTTTGAGTTATCAGAGCATTACTGGAAGAGTCACATAGTAATGATAATACTGTGTATTATCGTTGGGGATAGAAAATAATTTTACATGTCACAAAGAATGAAAGGGCTGCAATTTAAACTATGAAACAATGCCTTCTATTAATTCAAATTTTTAATTATATGCTTATTGGAATTGTTTTGTGTGACTTATTACACAGTTAAAAAAAAAAAACAAAACTCTTACATATATTGAAAGGATAAGTATTCCTAAAAGTTCTTTACACCATGTCCAAATCTTTTGAATCAATTCAACTCATATTCATCAAAGGTTATGTTCTTCTACACAATGTCATCTCCTGTGGGATAAAAATTGGTGGTGAAGTAGAATTTCTTAAAAAGAGTGCTTCCTTATTTCTAGGGTTTTCTTCTAGGATAATGGGACCCATCTTTAAATTTTGATGTTACTCTATTTTAATTGTACTTGAAGAAGTCAATGAAAATATTTGAGTTAGAGTTTATTTTCTTCTCAAATGGCCTTTAATTTGTTTGTATTTGACAGAATTACTATGGATTACTGTTACCACCAGAACAACAAAATTTGCATGATAAACTATGATTATGTCACAACTGCTGCTTAGCAACAGAGGTTTTAAAAAGCATCCATTGTAAAATACAATAATTTCAGAAATGATAAAAGCTTAAACAGATACATCTTTTAAACAAAGGCTATGGTCAGGAGTTGTCATTATACAACCACTTTTTTATGTATTATTCCCTCAATAAGGATTTTGCAGGTAGGATCTTATTTTTGTATAACCAACTGCCCTCTGAGTTAAAATTATAAAATAGATGTGCCTGTACAGTTTAAATGTGGCTCTGGTAGCTGCTAGGAATTTATGGAGACCACTGTACAATTTATAATATGAATTATGAAAATAAAATATTGTGAAACACAAAATATCGAAGCAATTTATTACTTGCTTTATTGACAATTTGATCTATTCAAGCTTATGTATTCTCTGCATTTTATCTTAGGAACAGAATAAAACTGGCTGTTAATGTGGAATTTCAATGTTAATATTTGTGATAGTAAATGGGGGAAATGTTGACTATCATAGTAGGGTAGGCTTTAGATCTCATGAAAACAAGTTTCAAAAAGTTAAAATAAAGGAGAAAATTGAGTCAAAGTTAAGAGATCCTAAAATGGAATATGGTCCAAGAAAGAACTGGGTAAATTCTCCCTTGGCTGATCAAGTTCACTTCACTTATAACTAAGAACAATCTCTGTTCAGCAATAAACTGGTAGGCAGTTTTTGTGAGGATTTGACTGCAATGTAGAATCACTTGTGCAGTGATGAATATGGGCTCAACATCAGAATAGCCTGAGTTAAACAGCCTTTCACGCAGGTGGAAACATCTCTGACAGTTCACATCCTACCCTTCATCACACAGCTCGATGACCCTGGCAGCTTCTGAGAAGTATAGTATTTGGCTAGAAACAAATCCAAAAACATATTAATTGGATTGGGGAGAAGTAAATGAGCACTCCCATTGCTCATCCCCTGAGGCTCTAAATTTTTTCCAATTTTATCTCCCAGACAAACATGTTAATTTTAGACAAAACACACACACACACACACATACACACACATAAATTTTATATAACCACTTTACCTATACCTTTATACTTAACAGTAAAATCACTGATATTCTATAAAAAATGTTTTTTCTTATTGCATATTCACTGTGCATACATATGCTGATTAAACTGTGATTTAAAAGCTCTGAATTGTTTTTGACATTGGAATTGACTGGCTGTCTTTGGAAAAACTGCAAAGAAAAAACTTTTACATCAGCATAAAGTGTCAAGGAACTGCAAGATAGCTGATAAGTTTATAGACATAAAGGCTATTTATTTTCTTGTGCCCATCTACATGAAAGCCACATCAGCAGTTTTGGTCTGATGTCAGGATACTTGCATAGATAAACCCCAATGTAGTCTTAATTATAACAGCTATAGGGCAATTTTGAAAGCATGGTTTCAAGTAATCAGTCATTGACAGTCTGGTCATGTTGTTTTGGGAATACTTTTATGACAGAAAAATTTGTAGATGTAACACTGATTTATTTATTATTTATGGGAAGTTATAATTCCAACATCTGAGCATATATTTGTAATACTTGGGAAATTGTAAAATGTGACTCATGACAAATGAGTGCTTAGCATATTTTTTAAAGGAAATCTTTGGACAGAATTTTATATACTTCATACTCACATGCCTATTTAGGATTCATATCATTACCTCAAAAGGGAAGACTTTATTAGACCTTGATGAAATTCTGCTTTATAAACTTCCATGCACATATAAAAACCAACTATGATGTGAAACTTCTTTCTTAGATATGAAAAAAGTAACTTATTCCTTCCTCCAGCCCACAAAAGATTTCTCAGGATACATCTCAACAGTTACAGTGTTTCTGGTTCCAGCACAGAAATCCATACAACTTAAATGGCAGACCAAGAAAGCCATGTTCTAAACATTACTGGACACCTATGTATTGAGTGCATTGTGCAATGTTTATGCCAGATGCTTTGTGGGATACCTAGAGGGTCTGAGAAACAGTTTTTACTACTCTCATGTAATACAACTGAGAAAAGTAATATGGAACATAAAATAAGCATACAAATGAGTATAACTCCAGGTAGAATATAATGCTTACATTAAATGAGATACTTAGTATAACTGGAATTCAAAAACACGCGATTCCATTAATTTGAGAGACAGAAAAATGCCTTACAGTAGGAGAAAGATAGGTGAATTTTGAGGCAGAAGGATTCCCACAGAGTTCTGGGAATGGAGAATTTTATTTATACAGAAAAACAAATTAAATAAAACAAGGCTTGGAGACAGATATGACCTTGGGGATTAGCGATAATAATGCAGTCAATAGGAGTGCAGAGTTCACATGGGGAAGTAACTGGCAACAAAGATAAAGAAGTGGCTGGGATTCATGTTAAGAAGAAGCTAGTAGAGTATTATGAATTGCAGTTTTAAGATGCTCTACAACTTTGGCTGCTACTGCAGCCTAAATCCTTATAATAGCAGACCACTATGGGGTGAATGCACATTGGCTAAGTCATGATTTGGGGGAAGTGAATTAGCTACACCGAGCCTCAGGGATTCTGTGGTAGCACCCCTTCAGACCCTGTTCCCCTCTACTCATTTTTTAACTTACAGATAAGGTGGAAGTTTTCCCACTGTGGAAAATGCTTAAATCCTGTAAAGACAGATTGAAGCACAACTCCTTTTCAAAAGTCAATAGAGGTAGGATAGGGATGTGAAAGTATTTAGTTAGAAGTCAGTGTTGTATATAATATATACATATATGTGTATAGTGTATATATATGTATATATATGTATATACTCATATATGATATATATAATACTTATATATAACATATATATATAACATATATATGTTTTCATATATAACATATATATATATGTTCTCATATAATAGATCTTTATGTTCTTTAAATCCCTCTAGGAAATATAAGTGCCCCTTGGTTCTTAAAAACATAAAATCATGGTCTCTCCCTGGTGACTCAACAGGTTAAAGCACTGCATTATGAAGCTCTCCAAAGGCACTGCAGCATGAGTTCAATCCCCAGCCAGGGAGCTGACCCACATGGCATGGCAGACCTCTCCTGACCCACTCACTGTTCCCCTCAGTAGTGTACTTCATTGATCTGCCTGTTCTGCTCCCAACTCTGTCTCTGGTGAATCCTCTCACCCACCACACCTCTGGCCTATACCCCAGTTCTGTAAGCATAAATAAATAAATCTTTAAAAATAAAATAAAATCATTTAGCTATAAAAATGGAACACGTTAAAATAGCTTTGCCTCAATGTTTTGATGTGTAAAATATAGTTTTTGAAGACTACCAATTCTTTGAGAAAAAATGGCAAAATTATATTTCATTTTGGATCTATTCTCTGTAAGTACAAAGCAGGTATAAAAACATACTAAAATATGGCTAATAAACTTGCAATTTCAGGTCATTTTGAACTTTGCAAAATAAATATCCTTTTAATTCTTGATCTGTAAGGTTACTTATCCACACATTGTAACTACACAATGAGATCTAACGATAGTTGTTATTACACTCAGTGAAAAATATTATGAAAATACTTTTTTTTCTTTCTAAGCCAAATTTATTTAGAATCTATATTCTAGGTTCAAAAATCAGAGTCTACAAATCTAACATTTTAAAGTACTGACAAAATTCAACTTATTGCTATTTATATTAAAATATATCAGATTCATGTAATAAAAACTTGCTTTCTTTTACTATTTCCCTCCATAACTTTAAAGAAACTTTTGGGGCACATCCTACAGTACAAGAGAAAGATTTTTACCTAAGGTATCATGCAATGTTAAAAAGTGAAGTGAATACATTTATTTAACCAGAAACCAAAGTTTAGATGATGAAATGCACATACATGCATGTGTGCACATGTACTTTTAAGTATAAAGAAATACTTTTGTCTAGTATATTTAACTATCTCCTACCATTTGTAATTTGCTTTCCAAATGACAAGTTTCAACAAGGAGCCTTTTTTGACAGTTTTTGTATATTGCTGATATTGCTGGTAATAGGTTACATAAACCTAATCAAGACTGTATGAAACTGTATTAATTTACTACTAAACTCCTTGCTTCTGGACATGCATTTTCAATAGTGTTTCTGTCATGGAGTGTTTTTCCTACATTTATGTCATGGAGTGTTTTTCCTACATTTGCTTCTATGTATTATATGATTGCAGATCTTACATCCAAGTCTTTTGTCCATTTGGAGTTGATTTTTGTGCATGACATGAGATAGCAGTCTCATTCTTTCACAAGTGTAGTCCAATTTTCCAAGCACCACTTGCTGAAGAGATTTTCCCTGTTCCAGTACAGATTCTTTGCTCCTTTGTCATATTCGATCTTTCTTTTAGTAGGAACAAAGAAAAGTCACTACATCTTAACATAGAGGAGAACTTTTATCTACTAAATTTGGGTCACATGGACTCATGGAATAGTCTTTTATCATATATCCATGAATATAGACATAGCTGTAGACACATACACACACAACCACAAGGAGAAGATTAACCTGGGCAAAGACCATAGACTATTAAGTACTCCTCTAATTCTAACCCCCCAGTAGTCTATCCCCCTACCTTACCTGAAGTTAGTTTAAACTCTGAGCCATGAGTATATAATTTGCTTTGACAATGAAATGTTAGTGGAAATGACATAAATCACTCCTGAATGCACCTAGTAGCTGATGCTTTTACACCAGCAAATGGATTCTCCAAAGACCTTCTTTCTCTAGTATGAGTTGTGACGAAGGTTTTTTAAAAAAGGAAAAAAGGAAAGGTGTAATGCTGAAACATCATGGGGGACAGACTTCCTTAGAGTCACCCAACACTGTAGCAAAATTCCCAAGGGGAAAAATAGTTATTCTTATCTGTTACTGAACGTCTAGATGGTCTCTTACTGAAGCACAACTTAGTCTGTTTTTATAATCTTCAGTATACTGTTTAATAATGACATTATGACTGAAATACAGGAATAGGTTGAGGTTTATGTTGTAAATCCAGATAAACAGTTTGCACATGAAATTTTCCTGTATGTTATTTTGCTGCAAATCATATTTCACATCTATATTTACTCAGCATGTAATTTTAATATGCTTTTATTTATATCTTTTACATCACTGAGTATTCCCTGCAAAATTTCCAACACCAATTCACCCGTGAACTTTCACTACAGTCCCTTGTGCTCTTCTCTTCCCTGTTTTTCCTCTCTGTTCCTTGCAGAATTCTCTTATTTATGGTTACCTGCTATTTTTTAAAAAAATATTATTGTTATTATTATAAAAATAAATATTTGATTTATAGAAAATTAAGAATATTTATGAGGCATAAAACACTAATTGTTGGGGGAATAACCAAAAGACCTTTTGTGTGTAGAATTGTAAAGATTTATCTAATTTGGCAGGAAAACATACTTGAAAACTTCCCTGCAATTATCATTCATAAATCATTGGAAAAATAGCTCAGAATTATGAAGTACTCATTTTGCAGCAAATAAAGCATTTCTCAATATCTAGCAAATAGTTATTAGTGTCTGACGATAAATTCATTAATATGTAATATAATTACACTCATTTTTGTAACTGTTATGAACACAGACAAAAAGCAGCAGATTCCCCATCTATAGTTTTTTCTAAAGCTTCCATTTAAAATGCTGTTTTGAAATCATGCCCTTATGATTTACTATATAAATAGCTATAATTTTCTAGTACGGCTTGCTTATGATACAGCTACTTGACTTAATTAAAAATTATTGAAGTCCCACCCTTTAAAACTAACTAGATGATACATATCAAAGAGCAATCATAAATTTCTGCCCTTAAAGCATTTCATGACCTTTCAGTGTGAAGCATCATGTCTATAGAAATAATGATCTGTGAGTTCTGCAAGCAAGGCAAAAATCTCTGCCATGTGACTCACAGGGCACAAAGTCACTCATTATGAGTCAGACAGCAAGTGTCTGTGGAGTATAATGGATTTACAAGAAGCAGGGTGACCACAGATCTAATTTTAATGAAACCCAAGACATAATCTGAGCTGATAGAGTTTGAAGTCTGGATATACTCCATAGAAGGTTAGACTTACTGTTTGATAACAAAGGAAATAAATTTTTCTCCCTTAAAGTTATGTTTTTCTGCTAGTTTCAATAGATATATATTTCTTTTTTTGTAGCAAATAGTTTCATTTATATTAAAGAGATAGGAGAAAAAATTTTTGGATACTATAAAGTTTTTTAAAAATTCCTATCGGTTGACTGAAATTAATTCATTCATGTCTGAAGACCAAGGTTGAGACCTTTTTATGTGTAGTTATTATATACACAGATAGGAAGTTTTTTCCAAATCCAAATCCTACCAGTTTTCTATCATAAAAAATTTTCACAAACAGGATATAAAGAACCAGGCATCCAGAGAACGCCTCCAAACCTGATTGTTTTAGAATGTACTTAAAGAAACATAGGCTTATATCAAATAGAAATATCAATGCTAAATGTGAATGAGAAGTATAATTTAGCTTGATAATATTTAAATAACAGACACTTATATTCTTGAGACAGAACAAGGCTAAATATGCTAGAATGTGCTTTATTTCTATGCTTTCTTTACCACTGTGTTGTTTTCCAAAATGACAAGATTAAGTATGACATTATATCACCCAGCACACAGAGGCCACATTAGCATTTCGATATAAGCATGAGAGACAATTACCAAGAGCCTTGTATTTCTTTACAATAAAGCTTGCACAAGTGAGAGAATATATGACAAAATATCCTTTATTCCCCCAATAAGGTGAAGTGGCTTAGGAACAACATATTTTAAAAGTGAGTACAATCTATGAATGGAAATTCTGCATTTCAGAGTCTGTGTTCAAAAACCTGAAGGATAAAAAATTCCACCCACAGTCATGATGTTTATTAAAAAAAAAAACCTTTATAACCTTTTTAATGTCAGAGCGTGATTTCAAAGGGAAAAACTGACTATAAATATAGAAAAAGAATGAATCCTGACACCTGGAATTTTGGGAGCCATTTTCAGAGCTTTTCACAGGTTAACATTTTGAAGTGGAAAGAATGTGAATCATGTGGAAGGAGTGAAAACAAAGTGATTTCACTTTAAAAGTCTTTCTGCTTGTATTAAAGGTATACTTTCCAGATTACTTTTGTGGAACAGAAGCAAAATGCCCAATGTGTCAACAAATATTAAATCTCTGTGGCTTGCTGGATTTCTGGAGTGGATTTTTGTAAACAAAGACAATGAATGTCAATTTCTGACAGGAACCAAATTCTCTTCTGAAGTTGGTAACCTTACCTTCCTCACCAGGATAGGCCAGAATGGACCGTGCACGAATCTGTTTTCCTTCTGTGGTTTTCCCTGAGCAGGTGTGTGAGCAAGATGACCACGCAGACCACGTGCTAAGGACACAGTCCTTGGGGCAAGGGACATCACAGGCCACAGGGATAGGGAAGATGGCATCTCTGCACAGCTGTCTTTCAACTTCTTCACCTAGGAAAGACATAATCACCAAAGTCTATCATCTTTGAATTAATATAGAATGGATAATTGATCTGCATGCCCAGATGAATTGATTATTTTTCTTTTACTTTTAGTAAAATGAAAACTAAAATAGTGTTGCTTACTATCAACAAATGTTAAAGAACATAGAAAATAGAATCAGGAAAACAGAAAACAATAATTCTGAATGACATAATATAGATGTGTACCTTGGGCATTTAGCATTTAGGGGAGAAAGAGTGGCTCACTGTGCTATTCTTCATTGTTACTAGGCAAACAACTCAAAGTCAATTCTCATTGATGGAAGGTTAAGAGTCCCTTTTTTTTTTTAAATTTATTTATTCATACAGAACTGGGGTACAGGCCAGAGATGTGGAGGGTGAGAGGTTTCACCAGGAACAGAGTGGGGAACAGAACAGGCAGATCGACGAAGTACACTGCTGAGGGCAGCAGCGGGCAGGTCAGGAGAGGTCTGCCACGCCATGTGGACTCCTCCGGGGCAGGAGGGGATCGAACTCATGTGGAAGTGGCTTAAGCTTCTTAGTGTCTTGCTTTAACCCACTGTGCCACCAGGGAGGGCCAAGAGTCTCTTATTTGTATATTTCAAAAATGGAAATGCTCAATGTGTCAATAGCTACTATTTTTAAAAATTTTTTTTTAAAGATTTATTTATTTATGCATATAGAACTGGGGTACAGGCCAGAGGTGCAGGGGCAGTGAGAGGATTCACCAGAGACAGAGTGGGGTGCGTAACAGGCAGATCAACAAAGTACACTGCTGAGGGGAGCAGCAGGCAGGCCAGGAGAGGTCTGCTGCACCATGTGGGTCACCTGCAGGTCAAGGATCAACTCATGCTGAAGCGGCCTTAGCTTTTTAGTTCTGTGCTTTGACCCACTGCACCACCAGGGAGGGCCCAACAGTTACTATTTTTCTGGGCCTTAAATCATGACACAAAATCAGAAGTCAATTGGAATGCATTTACATTATTAATAGTTACTAGTTTGTAAGATTTTAAACTGTTAGACTTGCTAACTATTTGGTAAAACTCACTAAAATGACAATTAAATCATATCATTCATTATTCAGTTGCTTTCAAGTATAGAAACCTGAATAGTAAATATACCCATGTAATTTTCAGTCAAAGAAAATTACCATTCATGGGTGATAGCCATAATGCATTCTTTTCAGATCACACCCATTGAATTACACTTTATAAAGACATTTCCAGGTGATTCATATACTGAAGGAGGAATATGGTATGGAATCTCTTCTTAATTCTTTAAGAACATGGCTTTGGAGTTTTGATTCATATCCCAATACAATATGATAGACTACATTTATACAGGCAAGTAGATAAAATATAAAAATCATTATAATGCAAAGTACTTATTATTTTAAAATTTATATAACAAAGGTTATTTTTCTAACTAGACTTTTTTCCCCTCAGCATAAAGGGATGCTTTAATATGTCCTATTTTCTTGAATGCTAATTTTTGATTGTTCTATTTACAATCAATATTGTTTCTAATATTCTATGGAGAAAAAGCAATTTCTGATTATTAATAATTTCTATTCAAGAAAATGTAATTCATTCTGCAGTAACTGAGAGTTTGCTATTAGGTAAATTTGTATTTTGTGATTTATTTTTGTATGTTGTGGTGCAAATCTCAAGGATGTACAATTTTAACTTTTCTTGCTTTTCCAGTTATTCTCCCTCCTCCTCCCAACTTTGTCTTTTACCTTACTTTAACTATTTTCACTCATCTGGCTCAGTTAGGCACATTCCTTCTAGAATGTAGTTTTCACATTGGCTACAAAATCTAAGATTTCCTTACATTTTAGTTAGTGTATTTAGCTACCTTTTGAGCTGATTTTTGCAGAGACAGCAGAGTATGATACTTGTAAGTGAATCAAATAACCTGAATATGCACAGAATAGACCAACCATATGATGAACTCTAAGCCAGCTGGAGCCAAGAGACTGCCACATGGAAACAAGAAAATGGAAGGGTCTGGAAGGACTATACTCAAAAGTGAAAAGTCTATCAATAACTGTCTAGATTGCATTCAAAGCAAAGGAACAAGGAAGATCCTGTGTCAGGCGACTATTTGACTACAAAAATACAGGTCTAAGTATAATATTTTCCAGACTGTCTTGCATTCAAATGCTCTAGTACTTTGTTAAATACTTTTTTCCAGTGGAAAGACAGTGTACACAACACCTGGAATTTGATAGAAATACATTCTTTTTTAGATCATAACTATTAAATCATGCGTTAGAAAAAGATTCCCAGGTGATTCATATGCTTATAAATTTGAGAATAAGTGCTCTCGGATGTTTCTGCCTTTGTTTTCTTTACTTTTATTAGAACCAGACTACCTCCTCTTAAAAGGCCAACTTCCAAAATGAATTCATCTGAATTTCATACCTACCAATACTTGGTGCTCTATGGGACTTCTTTCTAGATAGAATATATGTAGCAGGGCCCTCCCTGGTGGCGCAGCAGGTTAAAACACAGCACTAAGAAGCTAAAACCACTTCAGTATGTGTTCAATCCCCGCCCAGGAGGTGATCCATATGGCGCGGCAGACCTCTCCTGACCGACCCAATGTTCCTCTCAGCCATGAACTTCATCAATTGGCCTGTTCTGCTCCCCGTTCTGTCTCTGGTGAGCCCTCTCATTGCCCCAGCACCTGTGGCCTATACCCCAGTTCTGTATGCATAAATAATTTTTTAAAAAGAATATGTGTAGATGAGGTATTAGTCTGTATTTTTTATTTTAATGGAAATTAAACCAGACAAAATTTAACTGTCAAATAGTAGATGTTTTACTAAAGAAAAGACCGAATTGATTTCTAACCAATTCTCTAGCCTAATTTTTTTACTGGTATGATGATAGGAAGAATTTGTGATACTGAGGAGTTTACAGATGAAAGTTTGTTTACAAAATCAAGAAACAGCACTTGGGTTGGTATAGAAGGCTATGTGTAATTACACTTTATAAAGTCCACACCAAACAAAATCACCTAATGACACATTTTTCAGAACATGACTATGTTGTTGAAATGTTCTGGGTTATACATTTTGTTTTAGAGACACTGAATAAGCATGAAGGGATCAGTGAGAAGATGGAATCTTTCAAATCTTTGACTTTGTAATTGATACTTCTGTAACTCAGTTAATTGACTGCTAAGTGTAGTCAATTATAGTCTTTTTAAGGTAAATCTTCAACATTCTTGACTTAAGTTATATGGAAAACATGGGCAATACCCTTCCCCCCAAAACCCTCAGTACTTTGGTCTATGGATAGCCTAAGCAGCTCCATAATTTGTCATCATCAGCCACTTTCTAAGACTGTTACTTCTCTCTCTCTCTTTTATAAAGATTTATTTATTTATGCATACAGAACTGGGGTACAGGCCAGAAATGCAGGGGTGGTAAGAGGATTCACTTGAGACAGAGTGTGGAGCAGAACAGGATGATCAAGGGAGTACACTGCTGACAGGAGCAGTGAGTGGGTCAGGAGAGGTCTGTTGTGCCATGTGGATCACCTTGGGGCTGGGGATAGAACTCCACAATGAAGTGGCTTGCAGTACAGCACTTTAACCCCTTGCGCCACCAGGGAGGGCCTCTTTTACTAATATGACCATGGAAATAAAGTATTTATTTGGAAGAACTGACAGAATATTTTTTATCCCTTTTCCTTACATTAAAGCCTGTTTTTGCTTACAAAAATCAATTAGGTGAGAATCATTTGGCATTATAGTTCATAGGATATATTGCAATAAACATGTATATATCCAAATATCTTCCCACACAGAGAAACAGAAACCTTGCTACTTAGCACTTTGGAAATTCCATTATTTTCATATAGCTGCCCTACTGCTAGGGCATTTCAAACTCCATATGTCCCCATTATAGAACCATTTGAGACACTGATTATCTGCATGCACATTCCAATAAATCTGGCAGACATTACCCATTATCATTACAGTGAATGATGTAGTTCTACAACTCATATAGGCACAGACTAATGCAACATGTTTTTCTTTCTGCATTATAAGAATTAACTCCTTTGCTAGATTATGAATGTATTGTCAGAAAAATAGAGAATCTTTCATACGTTCCAATTTGTATTAATCATACTATGTATTTTGGCACACATTACTAACATAAAGTGCTTCAAAGTATTGCTTTATATTTATATAAATGTATTTTTTTTTCTTTCAATGAAGCTCTAGGCTTTTAAACCAAACCTGGAAAAAAGGTATGATTTACATGAAATATTTAGCACAGAACCAAATGAATAAACTATTGTTTACATGGCATAACTTACACATAACTTGAAGTGTTAACTGAAGCTTAGCTGGTTCAGACTTGTGATACAAATTATTTGGAAATAAAATGTGACTATTGGTTTATTTATTTTTATGAATTCAAAGCCATATTTAAATATTTAAGTTTGGATCCCCTAGTTTAAGTTCACAAAATAAAGTTTCAGAATGTTTTTAATAATTCATAATTTCCAACAATTTTAACATGTATTTCAACATCTTCAAGTAATCGTCAATTTTCCCTTTCCTTAGTTTATTTTCATGAATAGCACCGAGCTCTTTTATGAACTTCTCCAAAATAACTCCATTCATTCTACTGTGTTTCCTATTATCAGGGTAAGAGAATAGAACATCTGCTTGAAACAATTACACTAAAAAATCATGAAGATTTCCACAGAAATAAAACAAAATGAGAGTTGAAATCAGAAGATAGAGATGTTTTTCTGGTAAACTGCATGCAAGCTTACAGCATTCACTGTGCTGGGGCTTAAATGTAATATAAATGATAAACCTTGGTTTATTAAGGTTTTTATAGTTTCATTTTTTTTTTATAATTTAGGAACTGAGCCTAGGACACAATACATTAAAACATAATGGTTATAAATAATAACATAATTGTATTTTAACATAAGGCACATACATGTTTAGCACTACTTG